TGAATTAAATTCGTTTTGAAAATTGTTATAAATTGTGGATAAAATCAGACGTATATCGACGCAGGTAAAATAAGTGGTAATTTTCCAGATTTTGGGTTCTTGATTATTTTGATAATTATTTGACTATTTAACGTGCTTTTTATAGAACACCAATTTTACTAAAACATGGAGCATGAGGCGTAATCTTGAGTGTGTCAATCAAAGAATTAGCTCTGCCCTGCTCCACTACATCGTCAACACTCAGAATACCGGGCCCGGGGCTGAGTAAGTGTCTCCACATCTTCCCAAGGCAAGTGAGTTAACTGACTAAAAAAGTCCAGTTTCCACCCCTGCCGGACTAGGCTGGTATTATGGAGTTACATTTCGGCTGGACTAACGAGTCTATGCATAGTCCAATCAAAATCGTGCATCGAAACCGAAATCCGGTTCGTAAACTGTCCGATTTCGGTCGATTGCAGGATTTGCAAAGCATGTGCACCGCTAACTCGTTGTCAACAAATATTTTCCAAATCTTTTCATGTTTTTAATCAAGGTGCTCACGCATTGCGCGATGTAAGACCCGTTTTATCAAAACATAGACCTTGATTATCGATCAGATCGTCTTGACTGGGCGCCACTGTTTTGTTTCAAGCAAATGCAATTGATACGAGAGGTGGAATCTGATTGGTCTAAAGGAGAGGCTCAGAAGGGACATAACTCGTAATAGCCACTGGTGGCGCTACGATAGAGCCCAGGTATTCCAGCCTAGTTCGGCAAGGATGGAAACTGGACTTTTAAAGTCAGTTAACTCTCTTGCCTCGGGAAGATGGTTTCTCCACTGAATCGGGAGTTAGTGAGTGAGTTCTGAACGTGGCTCTGAACAGTACAAATAGATCACGGCGTGAGAGCTTTGTGTGGCAAGTGTGGATGAGTGGGTTTAACGCCACTTTGAACAGTATTCCAGTTATATCACGGCGCGTTATCTTAATATTGGAGGAAAGCCCGAAATGATGCAGGTCTTATTTACGCCTTAGGTGAAACCCACGAGCACGGGCGCAGATAAACCTAAAAACATAAGATCATACGTTGTCGCGTTCTCAAGGGACGCAACTCTGTACAGTGAGTGAGTGAAGTGAGTGATGAGTATGGATTAACGCCGTTTTTAGCAATATTCCGGCCATATCAAGACGGGGGAAGCAAGAAATGGGTTTCACACATTGTACCCAAGTCGGGACGCGAACGCTTTAACCACTAGGCTACTCAACCGTCCCTAACTCTGTACACTGAATTGCAGTGCCTTGGACCCTCCCCCGCCCTCATGAGAGGGTAAGAAAGTCCGCAGTGATGCCGATCTTCGAAGTTTAAGACGATGGTGAAATCTGCAAGGCCAAGTATGGTGCTTACAAACCAAAAAGCATTGCAAAGCGAATCGATTCGAACCGACGAACAGCGCATCCCGTCATGGCTAAAGGACGCGCCTATGCAAAAAATACGACCATCTGTTATACACTTCGGCTGCATAACATATTACTCGGTGCTCATACTATCGACCCCTATCAGTTGACATGGCAACTGTGTAATGTTGTTCACTCACTCACTGCCCCTGAAGATCCCAGGCAAGATCTGTTCCCTGGTCGTATGCGTATCATAAAAGCCAACTAAATCGGGTTTTTACAACGGTCATGGCCGTTGTCATGGTAACCAGGGGCGATCGGGTAGCCTAGTGGTTAAAGCGTTCGCTCGTCACGCCGAAGAACCGGGTTCGATTCCCGACATGGGTACAATGTGTGAAGCCCATTTCTGGTGTCCCCCCGCCGTGGTATTGCTGGAATATTGCTAAAAGCGGCGTAAAAACATACTCACTCACTGTTATGGTAACCATTTGGCCATGCTGTCTACCATTGGCTCAGCTAGCCCTGACACGATTATTAACACGACGACGTGATATTGTGGAATTACATTGTCTGTGCCATAAAACAGCATTCACTATCTATGACGGCCGTAGGCGATGGGGTAGCCTACTGGTTATAGCGTTAGCTCGTCACGCCGAAGAACCGGGTTCGATTCCCCACATGGATGCAATGTGTGAAGCCCATTTCTGGCGACCCTGCTTGAATATTTCTAAACGCGGCGTAAAACATACCCCCGCCCCACCTACGGTAATGCTGCTCGCCGAGACTGTTGGTACTAAGTGTCCAGTAAAATTCACTTAAATTACAATCCACGTCTAACTAGTCGAAGGTTATTAAATCACCACGAAGCTTAAGGCCGTGACACATGTTATTAGTTGCTTGACAAAACATAGATGATATACTACCTCTATTAAGATGTATAGCTGTTGAGAATATATGGGACAATTTTACCTCGAATCTATATAGGCCAGGGCGAGTCCTACATTTCTCAAGAAGAGTTCACGTCACAGAAACATCACGGCAAATATTTAAAGAACAACTGCCTATTGTCTTCCTGAATTCATTAAAACAAACATTCATGTACCACCCAGATGAGCCAACGCCATTTTGGTCCTCAGAGGCGCCCCCTTGTGAACACGTGTTTCCCAAAACATCCAGGTTATCGGTTCATAGGAGTAGCGTGACTCCCGTGACAACCACACAGTCAGCCGTCAAAAACACACCAATACGGGAGGAAATATCCGGTATAGGGCAGTGGGGACTGGGTGGGGGTGGAGGGTATGAACGCTGATTCCAGCTGGGAGGGAAGCTTGTGTCATCTATCACCTCGAATACTCAGATAAACCAGTTCTCATTATGGAGGACTGTGCGTTCAGCGACCACCTGTGTCCTGTGGGTTTCAGAATTATGTCACATAAATCATTCTCCTTTCCGGCCGAGTAACAAGTCAATTTTGATGTGCACGTATATGGCCGTTAACCGTTATTTTCCCCAGGGTACTGTTCGTTCGAAATGTTTTAATCCATGGCATAGGCGCTTCCAGAGAGAAGGGGGTGGGTATGACGCGGCCGGGGACCGAACCCCGGACCTTCCGCTCTCCGGGCGGACGCTCTACCACTAGACCACGGAGGCGGTTGTTTGGAGGGAGGGGGTGGGGATTGGGGTGTGTGTGTGTGTGTGTGGGGGGGGGGGGGGGTGTGTGTGTCCAGGGGTCCGGACCCCTCCCCCTTTTGAAAACCAATTGTAGCCACCCCCACTCCACCCCACCCCAATCCCCACCTCCTCCCTCCAAACAACCGCCTCCGTGGTCTAGTGGTAGAGCGTCCGCTCGGAGAGCGGAAGGTCCGGGGTTCGGTCCCCGGCCGCGTCATACCAAAAGACGTTAAAAGATGGTACTTGTTGTTACCCTGTCTGGCGCTCGGCATTAAGGGGTTAAAGCAAGGACTGGTCGGCTCGGAGTCAGTATACTGTGTCTAGGTGGGGTATTCATGTTAAACTGCGGCATGGTATCTCAGTGAGCTAGCACTATAAATCGGCATCAGTCCGGACTAGTACAAGCAGCCACACACACACGTGCATGCACGTCGCTATATAAGTGCAATAATCTTGGACGCGACGTTAAACCCAATTTCACCTCACCTCACCCTCCAAACACACACTGAAAGAGGGACCCCTCCCTTTTAAAACGGTTTTTGAAGGGAGAACAGTAAAACATATGTGATCTGACGGGTAAAAGAAAGTAACTATACATTTGACCAACACATTACAAACGTTGTCAAAACGCTACAGTCGCCGAAACACCGCAAACTAAATGGCTAAACACTTCTGTGATACCCGTATTAAATACATCACCAGCGAATAACTATTTTTTGTTTGTTTCATTAAAAACCACTGTCAAACATGGGTGTGAACATTCTTTGCCCGGGAGTGTATCTTAACATATACTGTCGAATACTTTAATATTCAATTTAAACCCAGGCTTGTCAATCGCTAAAAACGTTACTACTCACGGGAACAAAGTCATCTTTGTCCTGTGGGGAAATGAGGGTAGGTTTTTGTCATTGATACAAGCGCCAGACAAATGCAATGATTCCGCGAAGCAATTTGCGTTCAGTTGACGTATTACTTGTTCAGAACACCCCCACGCTGTAAGGGAGTCCGTGTTAGTTCCAAATGTCGCAAGAGTGAGAACTATTTTTTATTGTCGCAAGGGTCAGAACTATTTTTATTGTCGCAAGGGTCAGAACTATTTTTATTGTCGCAAGGGTCAGAACTATTTTTATTGTCGCAAGGGTCAGAACTATTTTTATTGTCGCAAGGGTCAGAACTATATTTATTGTCGCAAGGGTCAGAACTATTTATATTGTCGCAAGGGTCAGAACTATTTCAGCTGAGGCTTGGACACTCCCCGTCTTGTGTGTATTGCGGGTACTTGGCAGTGTCCTACGAGAGTGTCCCCGCCACGAGGCCACGTTTTCATACAGCCATTCAGTTTGAATGTTGGCTCCACGACTCCGTGGAATGGGAATCAAAAACAGTACGTGATTGCCCCATCGCTCCATTGGGACTTTATGAACGCTGTTAGAAAACTATTCCTATTTTATATTCAATCTAAAACCGACGAAGTGTTTTTAATTCTACATTTGAAACGTCTGGTATCCTTAAATTTTAACCTTCATATATTCAGAATCAATATTCTAGACATTTCCTATAATTAGCCACGCATCAAGTGATGTATTTCATGCAACCAACCACACACGGCTGCAGCAAGCATCTGTCTCGTCGAGTCTGACTCACTCAGTGAAGCTGGAGACAAAACTTATGGTAGTGTTCTGTTGGTTCTTCTTCTCCCCCCCTCTCTCTCTCACCGCAATTCCTCCACATCAACTTCCCCTTTCCTCCCTTCTTCCTCGTTCCTTCTCGTCCCCTCATTTAATATCTTCTCATCATTTCCTCTTTTCCCCCCTGTCCCTTCTCCTCCCAAGCCTTCTTCATCCTCTACCGCGCCATCTCCAAATACCTCCTTTTCTCCTTTCCCCTTCCTTGCTTCCTCCGCTTCTCTGCCACTCTCCCTCGTGTCTTCCTTCCATCTTACTTACTTCTCCTAATATGACCCCCCGGATACTTCTCTACCTCCCCCTCAGACCGCCTTCTTCCTCCCACCTGGTCACTTCTCTACCTCCCCCTCAGACCGCCTTCTTCCTCCCACCTGGTCACTTCTCTACCTCCCTCTCCGACCGCCTTCTTCCTCCCACCTGGTCACTTCTCTACCTCCCCCTCCGACCGCCTTCTTCCTCCCACCTGGTCACTTCTCTACCTCCCCCTCCGACCGCCTTCTTCCTCCCACCTGGTCACTTCTCTACCTCCCTCTCCGACCGCCTTCTTCCTCCCACCTGGTCACTTCTCTACCTCCCCCTCCGACCGCCTTCTTCCTCCCACCTGGTCACTTCTCTACCTCCCCCTCCCTCTCCGACCGCCTTCTTCCTCCCACCTGGTCACTTCTCTACCTCCCCCTCCGACCGCCTTCTTCCTCCCACCTGGTCACTTCTCTACCTCCCTCTCCGACCGCCTTCTTCCTCCCACCTGGTCACTTCTCTACCTCCCCCTCCGACCACCTTCTTCCTCCCACCTGGTCACTTCTCTACCTCCCTCTCCGACCGCCTTCTTCCTCCCACCTGGTCACTTCTCTACCTCCCTCTCCGACCGCCTTCTTCCTCCCACCTGGTCACTTCTCTATCTCCCTCTCCGACCGCCTTCTTCATCCCACCTGGTCACTTCTCTACCTCCCTCTCCGACCGCCTTCTTCCTCCCACCTGGTCACTTCTCTACCTCCCCCTCCGACCGCCTTCTTCCTCCCACCTGGTCACTTCTCTACCTCCCCCTCCGACCGCCTTCTTCCTCCCACCTGGTCACTTCTCTACCTCCCCCTCCGACCGCCTTCTTCCTCCCACCTGGTCACTTCTCTACCTCCCCCTCCGACCGCCTTCTTCCTCCCACCTGGTCACTTCTCTACCTCCCCCTCCGACCGCCTTCTTCCTCCCACCTGGTCACTTCTCTACCTCCCCCTCCGACCGCCTTCTTCCTCCCACCTGGTCACTTCTCTACCTCCCTCTCCGACCGCCTTCTTCCTCCCACCTGGTCACTTCTCTACCTCCCCCTCCGACCGCCTTCTTCCTCCCACCTGGTCACTTCTCTACCTCCCTCTCAGACCGCCTTCTTCATCCCACCTGGTCACTTCTCTACCTCCCTCTCCGACCGCCTTCTTCATCCCACCTGGTCACTTCTCTACCTCCCCCTCAGACCGCCTTCTTCCTCCCACCTGGTCACTTCTCTACCTCCCTCTCCGACCGCCTTCTTCCTCCCACCTGGTCACTTCTCTACCTCCCCCTCCGACCGCCTTCTTCCTCCCACCTGGTCACTTCTCTACCTCCCTCTCCGACCGCCTTCTTCCTCCCACCTGGTCACTTCTCTACCTCCCTCTCCGACCGCCTTCTTCCTCCCACCAGGTCACTTCTCTATCTCCCTCTCCGACCGCCTTCTTCCTCCCACCTGGTCACTTCTCTACCTCCCCCTCCACCCGCCTTCTTCCTCCCACCTGGTCACTTCTCTACCTCCCTCTCCGACCGCCTTCTTCCTCCCACCTGGTCACTTCTCTACCTCCCTCTCCGACCGCCTTCTTCCTCCCACCTGGTCACTTCTCTACCTCCCTCTCCGACCGCCTTCTTCCTCCCACCTGGTCACTTCTCTACCTCCCCCTCCGACCGCCTTCTTCCTCCCACCTGGTCACTTCTCTACCTCCCCCTCCGACCGCCTTCTTCCTCCCACCTGGTCACTTCTCTACCTCCCTCTCCGACCGCCTTCTTCCTCCCACCTGGTCACTTCTCTACCTCCCCCTCCGACCGCCTTCTTCCTCCCACCTGGTCACTTCTCTACCTCCCCCTCCGACCGCCTTCTTCCTCCCACCTGGTCACTTCTCTACCTCCCTCTCCGACCGCCTTCTTCCTCCCACCTGGTCACTTCTCTACCTCCCTCTCCGACCGCCTTCTTCATCCCACCTGGTCACTTCTCTACCTCCCTCTCCGACCGCCTTCTTCCTCCCACCTGGTCACTTCTCTACCTCCCCCTCCGACCGCCTTCTTCCTCCCACCTGGTCACTTCTCTACCTCCCCCTCCGACCGCCTTCTTCCTCCCACCTGGTCACTTCTCTACCTCCCTCTCCGACCGCCTTCTTCCTCCCACCTGGTCACTTCTCTACCTCCCCCTCAGACCGCCTTCTTCCTCCCACCTGGTCACTTCTCTACCTCCCTCTCAGACCGCCTTCTTCATCCCACCTGGTCACTTCTCTACCTCCCTCCCCGACCGCCTTCTTCCTCCCACCTGGTCACTTCTCTACCTCCCTCTCCGACCGCCTTCTTCCTCCCACCTGGTCACTTCTCTACCTCCTTCTCCGACCGCCTTCTTCTTCCCACCTGGTCACTTCTCTACCTCCTTCTCCGACCGCCTTCTTCCTCCCACCCGGTCACTTCTCTACCTCCCTCTCCGACCGCCTTCTTCCTCCCACCTGGTCACTTCTCTACCTCCTTCTCCGACCGCCTTCTTCCTCCCACCCGGTCACTTCTCTACCTCCCCCTCCACCCGCTTTCTTCCCCCCACCTGGACACTTCTCCACCTCCGTCCACCCCCCTCCTCCCAAAACACATAACACCTCCTTCACCTCACCTTCTTGAACCCCCCACCCCCTCCCTCCCCGTTACCAGCATCCCCGGTTCCTCGTCTCGTATCACGGAACGTATGTCCTGATTACTAGTTACAAGTAAGAGGAAAGAGTGAGTGAGTTGGGTTTAACGCCGCCTTTAACAGTATTCCAGAAATATTACGGCGTGTCCGAGGAAAGTCCGAAGTGATGCAGGTCTAAGACAGCGAATCGCGGCCCCTTAGACGTCTGAGCCACCCGTGCCCCCTAAGAGGAAAGAAATTCACAATCACTTACAATATTTTAAAGTTTGTTAATGCAAATCACATAAACCACCATTAAGGGTACAAATTAATTAGCCAAATTAAACAGAACGATAAAATCACTTCAAAACGTCAAACAACCCGCAACATCACAACCAACACGATACGCCAACAATGCACAAATGTCATGTGTAGTGACATGCTTGAGGAATAAGCCTCCTGTTTGTATGGAGTTGAAATGAGGCCATTCAATCATATCAGTGGGTTTTAAAATCACAATAGTACATGTCCATGGCATTTGACCATGTATACATTCGCTGTGCAGAGTTGCGTCCCTTGGCCAAGCCTGAAACCAATGATTCCTCGTTCGTATCCCGGTTCGCCCCGAATATGTTTCTTTGTTTATCAGCACCATACAGGTGCTCGTAGGTTTCAGGGGTAAACGCCTGAGACCTGCATCACTTCGGTCTTTCCTCCCAGGGGGCACGGGTGGCCCAGTCGTCTGAGGCGCCGCGATTCGCTTTGCAGAGTTGCGTCCCTTGGGCACGCCAGAAACCTATGATTGTGGGTTCGAATCCCGCTTCGCCCCGATTATGTTTCTAGGTTTGTCATCACCATACCCGTGCTCGTGGGTTTCACCGAAGTGGTAAACGTCTGAGATCGATCTGCATCACTTCGGGCTTTCCTCCCACATTAAGCTGACACGCCGCGATATAACTGGAATACTTGTCAAAGCGGCGTTAAACCCAACTCACTCACTTATTCACATGACAACGGTTAAACAACAACAGTTAAGCCGATACACATGGAAGGGTATCTGTACAAAATTACATTAAGCTACATGCTGTTCCATAACACAATACTGCATTTTTCCTGATGCGAAAAACCGTTATGCAATGTTACATATTTCATTTCCCACCACGAGAAAAGCATCTGTTTTCTTGACAAATTCGGTTATGCCTCGTGCAAAATGGCATTACTGTTATTCTTGCTGAAACTCTACTTCAATTCTAGTATGAATAATGCAAAATATTTTTTCGTACTCCTGTATGAGCGATACTGCCATACCGTCCTTCTGATGTATTAATAATTAAACATTCACTTCGTCTACATGCGTGTTTATCACGGAAGAGAAGTACATGTAAAACCGAATTATGAAAGTTCTACAGATCTGCTTGTTGCCACAAGGATGACGAGGGAAGAAATCTACTTGTCCAACGGAAGATAAATGCGAGTGATATAATATTGTGAGCCATTGTAATAAGTCTGTCTCTTAATGAACATTACATTAACGTCACATTAGGCCCTCCGTATTGTGTATAAGTTTCTCATCTCCAGCCTCAACCAGGGTGGGCAAAATATCTAGAAATAAAATAAATTGAAAAATTGTTTTTTTACTAATCATGCAACTCTTTTAGGATTTTTTTAATTGTTTAGAACGCTTTGTAACATCTCTTAATTCGATCGCACTTTGAAACGAAGTGTTAATACATTTAGCCCAGGAAGGATCAACCTGACCTGGTTTTTTTATGTGCAACTGTTGGAGTATATTTTTTTATCACACCTCGGCCCTTAGGACGACTTTCGTCACCCATGCGACACAACCATCACAACCCCAAACAACAACAGCCCCCCCCCCCCCCCCCCACACACACACACACACACTAAAAAAAAAGAGTATTACAATTACAACGTAACTTGTGAGTGAGTTTGGTTTAACGCGGATTAGAACACTATCTTAGGTACATAACAAGGGGTCAGCTTTAAGTGATATGTGATGCGGGTCTTAGACGTTAATCACTTACGGTATGGTGATGGCAAGCATAGAAACATAATCAGGGCAAACGCAACTAAGTGTGAATATGTTATGTGGTAGAGTCACATACCATAGTCTCCTCACTGTAGGGTAGTTCCTGATTATTATGTAAACCACTCGCAGATGTTGCTTGGCATTTGTGGTATTCTTCTTCATTAACGGAGACAGATGAGACACTATGGGAAATGGAGGAGGGTTAAAACAGGATGAATGGGACAACTCTGTTTCACGCCTAGCAACGAGTATGGATGGAGAAACCAGGGGTTGATACTATGAACAACGGCCCATGCTATCTGGGTACTATGTCACTCTTAGGATCTCTGGCTGTTAGTAATCGAATATGGATAGACAAACCAGTGATTGATAGCATGAACAACGTCCCACGATATTCGGGAATTATGACACTGTAGATCGATTAGTTAATAATCGATAATGGCTAGACACACCAGTGATTGATAGCATGAACAACGCCCCACGATATTCGGGAATTATGACACACTGTAGATCGATTAGTTAATAATCGATAAAGGCTAGTCAAGCCTGTGATTGATAGCATGAACAACTACCCATGTTATCTGGGTACTATGTCACTATGTTGAACTATGGCTGTTTATAATCGAGTATGACCAGACAAACCGGTGATTGATAGCATGAACCACGATCAGCGCTCTCCAGTTACTATAACTCTGTTGAACTGTGGCAGTTAGTAATCGATATGGATAGACAAACCGGTGATTGATAGCATGAACAACGATCCACGCTCTCTAGTTGCTATGACACTCTGTTGAACTGTGTTAAAAATCGAGTATGGATAGACAAACCAGTGATTGATACCATGAACACCAACCACGCTCTCTAGTTGCTATGACTCTGTAGAACTATGACAGTTAGTAATCGATATGGATAGACAAACCAGGGGTTGATAGTATGAACAAAGACCCATGCTATCTGGGTACTTTGTCATTCTGTAGAACTATGTCAGTGAATAGCTGAGTATGGCCAGAAAAACCAGTGATTAATACCACGAACAACGATGAACGCTCTGTAGATACTCTGACACTCTGTAGATCTATTGCTGTTATAATCGAGTATGGCCAGACAAGCCAGTGACTGATAGCATGAACAAAGATCCGCGCTCACTAGTTACTATGACACTCTGTTGATTTGTGGCTGTTAGTAATCGAGTCTAGCTGGACAGACTAGTGGCTGATAGCATGAACACCGACCCACCCTATACTGGTACAATGTGACCCTGCAGAACTGTTGCTGTTAATAATCGAGTATGGATAGACAAACCAGTGATTAATAGAATGATCACCCTTCCGCGTCCTCCAGGTACGATGCCACACAATCCGCCCGCTCCTGCGCGCACTGAGGCCTCCCGATCTCCAGTAATCTGTTCTTACAAGCATGAGGTACCGTGGATTTATTCTGGTACTTATCCCACGGATGCAGAACCGTTTCAAGGGGAAGAAACATCAGCTTTACCCACCGCACTCTCCGTAATCTCCATCTTCATCGCTGCTGCTGAATCATCTATGACGTCATTCGTCCGTGACCTTTATTATTGTCGTGGTTTGTTATATTTACCTGACATTTTACAGGTGATATATGTAAAACACTGTCTGTGATTGTAGCCGGCGTGTCTGCCGATACTAACGTAAATAGTATTTGTACGGAGAGACTGGTTGTTTATTAAGAAAACCAAGAATAGCTCAGATATGTTGATTTCAACTTCTTGTAACCGAGGCTTTATATAATCCCATCTCTTTCAAGAGATGCTGTACGTTAGTACCATCACCAAACAAGAGCTTTTCACAGATACTGGAACTATAATTAGTACTGTTAATCATTTTGTACCTTGAATATACTACGTATATCGCCCTCCTTAAAGGTTATACTAACACCACGTGGGCCACGAACGTGATTCGATGCAAAACCGAGGCTCGATAATAAATAAATAAATAAATAAATAAATAAATATGATGATGATGATGATGATGATGATGATGATGATGACGAAGGCGACGACGACGACGACTACAACCATCATCATCATCATCATCATAACAATAATAATAATGACGCAATGGACATAACGCACCTTATAGGTAAAAAAAAGAAGACAAAGTTCCCACTCCACATTTATCGGATTATTTCTGTACCAAGTCGTAGTTACTTCTCTTTTATTACCCACGTGCTTCTCGCTTATACTTACGAATAAAGTGTTTCAGCGCTCTATCACGGATGTGCGTGTTTCACGCAGCAAAACTTCTGTTTTTCAATTAACCCGATTTCATTTAAGACTTACAGAACAAAGGTCTACATCACTTTAAAACAAGTTTGATTCAAATCAGAGCATAGTACAAAACAAGTCCGTTGCTTGAATATACCGAAAAATTCAGAAAAAAACCCGTTATTACTTTTTTAAATTTATTTATGTTATGAGGAGTAGGACACACTTCCTGTAGTATCACGGGGGGCGGGGGTGAGGGGGTGCGGGTGACACCAGGAATGCGAACCCGAATCTCCGCCGTGGCGAGCGACGCCTTATAATTAACCACTAGCTGTCCTCTAGCTATCTTAGGGCCGTTTATTATGGCTAACATACCCCAGTCTCTATTCTAGTCTTGGAAAATCAATGTTGCGTCCCTCAGTCTGAAATGAAATACGATTCGGTCGATCAAATACAACTTTTGCCTCTGGTAAAAAATTCCCATGCACCGACTTTCATCAACGTGGAAGAACAGATATTTAATCTAAACGCGATGTTTCGTCAAGCCAACATCGCAATGAACATCGAGGATGGACCCCGCTTGTCTATTTTCATTGCATGGGAAATTCTAAGATCTCTAACTATGCACGGGAAGCAGCGGGTTTCCAAATAAAATTGAATGTTTGGAAGATTGAGATCGGCATTCGTTCATCTCATGTACAATATATTTTTTTTGTAATATTCATGTTATATATAATTTATGTTGAAATTAACAATGACATGAACATTTGTATTTACAAAGTGGAAATTATG